TATGTTGCCAGGCTGGTCCTTGCTCCTGATATCATGATCGCCTGCCTTGGCCTCCAAACTGCTGGATACAGGCATGCACAACAGGACCAACCTCCAAGTTTTACTCTTTACTAAAGGATTCTGTTTTTTTTTTTTTGGAAGCATGGAGTCTCTCTCTGTTGCCTCACGGCTGGAGTGCATGGGCCGACCATGCTCACTGCAACAGCTCCGCCTCCCGGTTTACGACCTATGTTCTCTGCCCAGCCTTCGAGTAGCTGGGACTCACAGGCGCCTGCACCGTCGCCGGCTACGTTTTTTTCTGTATTCTTTTAGTAGGACGGGTGTTCACGTGTTAGCAGATGGGTCTCGATCTCCTGCCGCGTGGATCCACCCGTACTCGGCTCCAAAGTGCTGGGATTACAGGCTTGAACCACCGCGCCTCGGCCACTAAGATTCTTAACTTTCTTTGTAAATAGTACGCCTCGCAACTGTACAGAAGGAATATCAGCAGTCAGAAAACACATTTCCACTGAATTCACACAAACACACACACAAAACACACACAAAACATCACCAAGTGCCCAGGCCTAGGTGGGCGCAGCCTGTAAATCCCAGCCTTTGGGAGGCCACACCAATCACCTGAAATAAGTTCACACACCAGCCAACATGGTCACACACTCACCACACACACACCAAAATACCCCGGGCTTGGTGTTGCAGAGGTAATCCAGCTACCAGGAGCTGACGCAGAAAGCACACAAACACGGGAGGTGGGGTCGCACTCACCAGATCACATCACGCCACACACCTGGGAAACACAACACTCCTCAAAAAAACAAACAACAAAACACACGTAACCCAGCAAGCTGGGAGGCCAGGTGGCAGATCACCCTCATCAACGAGTCTTGAGACCCCAGCCTGGCCAATCATGGTGAATCTGCATCTCTAGCTAAAAATACAATAAAGTTAGCTGGGCATTGTGCCCAGTCGTACTGTCAAGATCCAGCTACTCGGGTGTTGAGGCAGGGAGAATCACTTGACAAGAGCAGAGGTTTGCAGTGAGTCCGAGATCGTGCCACTGCACTCAGCTG